CAGATCCTTGAAACAATTCGATTATTTTTTTAATGATCCTGTAGATGAGGATTAATTTCCTTACCTCTGCTTATTAATGTTTCCGTTTATGTAATATTACTATTTTTTCGTAAATCAGTTACTTCCATGTCTTTATTACAATAAGAATGTGTTTTTAAAAAGATGAATATTAAAAGCAAATTATTTTATTTATTATTTTATTTTTATAATTTTTTTATACATTTTAATGTGACATTCTTGAAACAATTTGAGGATTTTTAAAAATGATTCTGTTGATGTTTAATTTGCTATCCTCTGCTTATTAATGTTTTCGTTTAATATTACTATTTTTACAAAACATAGTTATTATAGCATTATTTATTTACATATAGATTATATAGATTTAGATTTTAAATTAATGTTAATATCAATATATTAATATTATAAATAAATTAGGTATTTATTATTTTATATTTGTACAATTTTTCATGTTTACTAAAAGATTCTAAAAGAAGTGACAGATTCTTGAAACAATTTGAGGATTTTTGTATTATTCCGTTGATGTTTAATTTACTTTCCTCTGCTTATTAATGTTTCAGTTCACTTAATATTACTATTGTTTTAAATCGTAGTTATCATTTTATTTATTTATATGTATCTTATATATAGATTATAGATTTTAAGTTATTTCTTTATTATTTTATGTATTGTTACACATTTTTATAAATTGTAATGTCTTTTAATGTATACATTTTTAATATCTAAGTGTTCATAATTTCTTGTTAAGTAGGAAAATAGCATGGTAAATAAATATCAACTTGATCTGAGATAAAACTAATTCAAGTGCATTCAAATCTTGATTTAAAGTGTTTATACGATTCAAATGTCAAATGTATGATTCAAAAGTTTGTTCAAATTAAACAGAAAAAAAATTGTTGCAGTTCTATAATCGACAAACTCTTGCAGAAAGGAGTGTGATATATATATATATATATATATATATATATATATAAATAAAAGAACTGAAATCAGATGAAAAATGTATTGACTTATGATGCGATTTAAATATGGAAATATACAAACTGCCCCCTACTGGTTAACTATAGGAACTACAGAAACCACTAAATTCAATTATTTTCATAAATCACTAAAAAATGATCATAAACAAGAGTTACCACACTATGCTAACAGAGATTCACATTTGTTTTATGATAAGAGCTCAAATGTATGTTTATTTTTAACCAGTCTATGGGCCCCTTAATAAATCTGCAGACCCCAGTTGGCTGGTGTATTTTTTACCAAGTATTTTAAAGACAAAAAAAGAGACATTTTAAAAGTCTTTTTTATTGTTTTTCATGTTCTCTACACATACAACTGAATATGTGGACCTTTGCTTCCTTGTCAAAGTAGTCAAAGAACACAAATTCAGCTCTACATGTAGAGGAAAATCCAACCAAAGGTGCATAGTACCGAATAATGTTAACAATGAACATGAACTGGTCCAAAACCTACAACATAGAAAATTCAATGCAACATTTCATTTAAACAAACATGTGTTTTTTTCCACAGAAAAAGTTCACAGTCATTTGAGTTTATTGCCAGCAATATTGTAATGTTTCAGAAGATAATGTTCCTCCAGCTTTAGAGTAAGGCACAAGAGACTGTGGTGTTGTGGTGAAAGATAAAGATTAAATAAGAAAAGAGGACTGATCAAGTGATCTTCAGGAAAGCCGGGAGAAGAGCACAAACTGATGTACAATGCCGATGACTGCTCACATTCCCATCCGGATGCTCTGAATGATCTGGAATATCGCTGTAGCGAAAGCACAGAAAAATAACATTAGTTCATATAATGCAAAGTTTGTTTTTTGAAGTTGTTCAGTGTCTTTGCATGTTCATCAGAAAAAATGCATGTTGATCAATCATGAAGGTAAAAGAGATTTTGTCGTCTTCAAATAAATTGCACAATGGTTAGAGCATGCTACCAATGAATGAGAAAAACTCTTTTTGAACTCCACATTTAAATAAATTAAAGTGAACACTGATTTCCCTGTGTGATTTTTTTCCAATATTGCAACACCAGCTAAAGCATGACTTACGGATATTCAAGGAATATTTTTTATTTAAACTCTGTCTGTGGATGGGGTTTGAAACCAGGCTGCATTAGAAACGCACTTTGTCCCTTTAAACATGGAGTTATGAAATAAAGTTCACGCTTGCTTTGCATGTATTTGATTGAAAAAGTCATCAGTAAATTCAAAGGATGATCACTTTAATGCATTACACAACATATTTAACTCTCAATAACTCACCTGATCCACATACTACAAAGACGAACAAGGCAAGAAGCCAGGGTCCCACCACTGCCTTCTCTTCTTGAGAGACTCTCTAGTGAAAAATATCAACATTTGCTTATTAACAGAGATCTGTATTACTTCTAAAGATAGACAGTATGATCAAATGAACATATTAAAGCTGCTCAGCATGACTTATTGGGGAATTAAACAGCTGCGTGTGTGAGTGTGTGTGAGAGTGTGAGTGTGTGTGAGAGTGTGAGTGTGTGTGAGAGTGTGTGTGAGAGTGTGTGTGAGAGAGTGTGTGT